GTATGGTTGTCACCACAAAATGTAAAAATAATTTTCCAGCACCGTATTCACAAGCTTCAAAGTAACTCAATTATCTCTTAAACATCAATTTAGCCAGGCAATACCACACCAACCAATGGGAGAATCTTCAAATGACCTGTCCCACATCTGAACAGGGTTACACTAATCTGATCCTTTCAAGCAGAACCCTGACTTTTCCACCTCCCTAACGGAGAGGTGGATCACGCTGCTCTTCAAGGCTTGTAAGGTTGGAGGTCTGCCCTTAGAGGCTTAAGTTTTCATGGAGTACAAACCCAGTGTGGTAAGAGCACCTGAATGCTTTAAGAGAAATGGTGTCCCCTTGACATAGGTTAATACTAGGTCTGCAGGTCACTTTTGCTTCCCAGCGAAGTCCATCAGACGAAGATCATGGCAGAAGACTGGGACACCAGAGGTGTGAAAAACGGGCCTGTATTCACTTGAAGCAACACAACACTTCCTTTCTGAAAAATATACTGTAAGTATGAAGAAAAGAAAGACAGACCATTTTCTTGTTTTCTATAGAAGACACCTACTCAGGACTAACAGATTTAGTATAGAGAGTGAAGCAGAATATCAAATTGCAATCAATATGCTCCAATCCTCCATCTCAGTAATTCCTCACTTTACAGGTATTTAAACACAGATGTTAGCGCCATGTTGCTGTAGACTTTAAGATCAATTGTATTTAAGGCAGTGTTGTCCTCAGAGGTGTCGAAACAAGATATTATTTAAGATCATTATGGAACATCCTAAACACACAAGAAGACAAAAACCCAAGACATTTGTGGGCTCTATAAGCCAGTGTACATGGAACGTATTCCTGTCCCTTTTGGTTGCTGGTACGTCAGCAAGCAGGAACTTCATTTCTTGCAGTGTAAGAAAGATCAGCTTTCCAAGAAGAAAGCCTGACTGATCTTGTGGCCTTCTACCATGGAGTGACTGTGGGGGTGGATAAGGGAAGAGCAACAACTCATGTCATCTACCTTCAGTTCTGTAAGGCCTTTGGCGATGGTGGCCTTCTACCATGGAGCGACTGCATTGGTGGAGAAGGAAAGGGCAACTGATGTCAGCTATCTATCTTGACTTCTGTGAGGCCTTTGACACGGTCCCACACAACATCCTCCTTTCTACATTGGAGAGATATTGCTTTAATGGATGGACTATTCAATGGATCGTCTGCATGGTCACATCCAAAGACTTGCAGACAACAGCTCAATCACCAAACAGAGATCAGTAACAAGTGGTGTCCTACAGGGGTCTATATTGGGATCGGTACTGTTCAGTATTTTTATTAATGACATAGACAGGGGGGGTGAGCGCACCCTCAAAAAATTTGGGGGTAATACAAGCCGCTTGTGCAGTTGGCATGCTTGAGGGAAGGGATACCATCCAGAGAGGCCTTGACAAGCTTGAGAAGTAGGCCAATGTGAACCTCGTGAAGTTCACCAAGGCCAAGTGCAAAGTCATGCACGTGGGTCAGGTCAACCAACAGTAACAGTACAGACTGGGCGATGAATGGATTGAGAGCAGCCCTGCAGAGCAAGACTTGGGGATACTGGCTGATGAAAACTTAGGCATGAGCGAGCAATGTAAGCTTGCAGTCCAGCTAGATAGCCAATTGTATCCTGGGCTGCATAAAAAGAAGTGTGGCCAGCAGGTCGAGGGAGGTGATTCCCCTCCTTCTACTTTCCTCTTGTGAGACCCCTCCCAGACTATGGCATCCAGGTCTGGGGTCCCCAGTACAAGAAAGACACGGGCCTGTTGAAGCAGGTCCAGAGGAGGGCCACCAAAATGGTCAGAAGTCTGGACTACCTCTCCTGTGAAGAAAGGCTAAGAGAGTTGCCGTTCAGCCTGGAGAAGAGAAGGCTCTGGGTTGACCTTACTGCAGCTTTTCAATATATAAAGGGGCTTATTAGAAAGACAAAGAAAGACTTTTTACCAAGGTCTGTAGTGACAGAATCTACCCTGAAAGAGGGTAGATTTAGATTAGATCTAAGGAAGAAATTTTTTACAATGAGGGTGGTAAGAAACTGGAACAGGATGCCCAGAGTAGTTGTGGATGTCCCATCATTGGAAGTGTTCAAGGTCAGGTTGGATGGAGCTTTGAGCAACCTGATCTAGTGAAAGATGTCCTTGCCCATGGCAGGGGGGTGGTGGAACTAGATGGCCTTTAAAGGTCCCTTCTAACCCAAACTATTCTATGATTTTCTGATTCTGTGGCATATAACATGCATGGATCAGATGATAGATACGTGATCAAGAACAGCGCATGCATCCAAGAATATCCAAGAACAAGAGAGTGGAAAATCTTATGCCGCAGCAGGCACACGCTCCCCTCTCTCCACAACATGTAGGCAGCGCATATGCACATAAATCAACAGCGCACGGCCCACGTCTTTAGCTCCAAGAGAAGCATGGATAGTGAATGCACATACAGATACCTGAGATTTGAATTAGCTGTTCACATACAGGCACCGTTACTTTTGAGATGTCCAAGGGCAGCTGGGTCATCCCTGAAAAACTGTCAGATGTGACTATAGGGTGGCACGTGGGGTATTTTCAGACATCTCAAGTGGCACAAAATCCTACATTTAGGCAATGAATCAAAAAACTCACCACTGGTTGATGTTTTGAGTGACCTTTAGCATGGGGAAAAGAGTAAATCCACACTATACTGCCTGAGGTCTAGCTGACAACATGCTTTTAGAAGAAGTGCTAAATGTTTCATCCAAATAAATGTTGCTGCTTTTCTTCAGCATAGAGTGCCAGAAAGGTGTTGGACTAAAATAAGTTCCCTGCACAGATTCTCAGGACTGCATGGGCTGAAAGCAAAGCTCAAAGACTTGCCAAGTAGATACTGTTTAGATGGCTCTGATGTCCTTTCTAGAGCTGGATTTAGAGGATGCGACTTTTAAGTGTTTACTGTAGATATGACCCTGCCAGAACAGGTGAATAAGAAAGTGGCAATCACACAGTGCATAACTGAAGTCTACTATTTCATAAGAACTGTTCTTCCCAGTGAAAACTATGGGAACTAGAAGTAGTCAGATGGCAGTATCTTAGGGGAGCTTGTAAGAGATCTCTTTAAAGAGACTTCCAAAAAGTATTTCCAAAGATAAAAAAAAGCTGCCAAAAAAAAAAAAATCAGAATAAAATAGAGCTGGAGAAAGTTAAGTATGAAAAAAAATTGTATGCAGAAATCAGTAAATTCTCCAACTCGGCTCAGCTGCACAACTAGGAACAGAAACGTGTAGCACATACACATCCCATTTATGTTCACACAGACAAGGCTATGAAATATGCGCTTATCCTTCTGGATATCTCTGAGCAAAGAATTCTCCAGTGTCCAGCATATAGAGGCATATAAACATCCATAATGCAAATGTGTATAAAAACAAGCACTAGAAAAATAACCTCAGATGTGTTTTGCACTACAAATCCAACGTAAAAAAACATCAGAAAATAGACTTCAAAGATTTTTCCAATTTCTTTATTATAGGATTCTTACTGTTTAATTACCATTTTTTATTTCTATTCATTATTGATAAAATGCAACACATAAAGTAGCTACAAAAAGCTTTCAAAGTATCTCAATCAAATGTAAAACTCACAATACTACGGAGCTATTCTGAAATATAAAACCAGCCTATACTCCACAGAACCGAAAGAGATGATAACACCTTTTTTCTACTTCCCTGGCTACACTATCTTGTGCCGTGTCCACATCTCCCCTTGGCCAACAGCCAGCACTCGGTATCTTTGGAGAAACACTCAACAGTCCATTATAACTACCATCAGTGTACTGGAACCATGAGCGCGATGGGAAAGAGAAGTTGTGCTGCACATGTCTGTTCTGGGGAAGGACTTTTTACTGGGGCATGGAGTGATAGCAGGAGGGGGAATGGCTTTAAACTGGAAGAGGGCAGGTTTAGATTAAACATTAGGAAGAAGTTTTTCCCTGTGAGGGAAAAACATTAAGGGCATTTGGACAATGCCCTTAATAACATGCTTTAACTTTTGGTCAGCCCTGAACTGGTCAGGCAGTTGGACTAGATGATCCTTGTAGGTCCCTTCCAACGGAAATAGTCTATTCTATTCTATACCGCCTTAAAACATCTCTTTTCACATTTTTTACTGTTTCCAGAAAGTTTCTGCTTTTTTGGATCCCTCAGCACTTCTGCACAGTTGCTAAAGTGTCCATTATTTGTTTGTACCACCGACCTTTCTATCAAGCAGACTGTCAGTGAGAACAGTATCTCAACTTCAGTATTTGGCATAAAAAGTGTTAACAAGGAAATAAACCAAAAGAAAACCTCCAAGCTGTTCTCCACCAGCCAGTATAGGAACGCAAGAATTTGCTTTAAGAGCAACATCAGTCAGTTGGCTGCCAGCGGTTCTACGTTTTAGATCACAGAAAGAAACTGTATCGGGTTGTTAGTCCCGTAAAAGAATTAGTATAAGAGCGCAATGAAAAATAAATATAAGGGTTTGGCATGGGAATGGTAAGATGCCGTGCATTGAACTATATACAAATTTAACAAATTATTAATAATAACACAAATGAGAAATTTAGATTTCTCCATACAACCTCTAGGTTATATGGAAAGAAGAAGAATGAATGTGTGCTTCTGGATTTTTATTCCTACTCAGATACAGACAAAAGCAAAATCAAAACTCTCTAGAAAAGCTTTTTCTGAGGAATACATTTGCATAATTAGAAACAGAATTCATTTCCTGAAGAAACTATTTTTTTCTTTTTCCTCAGAATATTTATACACGCGTTAACCCATTATTAGGAGATAACAATGGGATGGGCATACCATAGTTTTAATTACAGTTTAGGCTGCAAGGCCAATACCGGGGTTGACCAAACACCAATTCTCTTTAGTCGCTGCGGTCACTCATTTTACTTTTCATCCTCACTCATAATCTGACAGGATTCTACTCACAATCCTTAAAAACCAAAGAGAAAGACTTACCTGAACAGACCTCTTTGTAGGTAGGATTCGGAGTATACCCTCCCGCGTAACCCACTTGAGTGGAGTAGACTCCCTTCTGGCGCCAAAACTTCCTCTCGGCTCCCCAGAAACAGCCCATACCTGAATAATAAAGTACATATCGTTATGTCAAAATCCGCTCAATACCGAATCACTCATTTGCACTTTAATTGATACAGTCCATAGTGGAACTAACATCTATAGCCAGCACACCATGGTCAAATCTTTCCCAAGATGATGCATAGAGTAACTATACCGAGAAATGCATTCTGCATCACAGCACAACTCAAATAAAGCTTTATTTATGCTTCTGAATATTAACATCTCACAGAGGACAAATCCTATAAGGGTTCAAAGGCCCCAACAAGGAGAATTCTCATGCACATAAAAAAAAAGTTACTTAAAAGGCAATTGCGCTATTTGTACAGCACCATTTTTACTTTAGTTGATTAGCAAGCTGTCAAAACACAATAATTTGTATTAATGGCAAACAGTTATTTAATTTTCTGCTTTCAGGCATATGCAGTCTTTAAAGGTGGCAGTAATAATGGATTAAATTATATGCTGTACAGGAGGAAAAACGCTTTTGTTTAACAATTTATGCATGCGGATATTTGATGTTCAGACAAAATTTTGGTAGTCATTCGCCCACGTGGCCAATTATCGAAGGACATCAGACTGTCAACAGGTGTAAATGAGCAAAACTCCCCTGGCAATAGGAATCAGGCACATTCCATGAAAGCCAGGGGGAAAGGAAGAAACAAGACTAACGTTCACAGTTCTCTGATAGCTCAAATAGTTAAGAAACATTAGCTACAATTTGGGAGACTCTCTAAAGCTGAACCGTGTCGTGTACACTCTAGTATTGGTCAGCTTATCCCTTATTATGGACCATCTATTTTCTCTTTCAATGACAACATACTTCCTTTTACTCTTCCCTTACTAAATGATTTGGAATAAAAGGCAGTAAAAATAAGCTAAATATTTAATACACTTAGAAATCAATGATCCATGATAGGTTTTCTATTGATAATACTGCAGATATGATGGGTTAAAAGATTACAGAAACATTCCTTCAAAGTACGACTAAAACAAAGCAGTCCCTTCTATCAGCTATGATGGCTCCCAAACGCATGTTCTTTCTTTGAAACTTCTGAGATTAACTTCACATTAAGGCTGCAATGGACCAAAAATTACAGAAGTAATGACCGAGATTCGTTGTTCTAATTCAGGTGTTCAAGGAAGCCACATAAATTAGGAGGCTCGCCTGCTACTGGAGACCGTGGGAAGAGGAAGGCATCTCCTGAGGACAATTCAGCCCCCAGAAGATACAAATTGCTGATCACATTGCAGTCATTCTCCCTTGACTACAGAGACAGCTATGGCTATTAGACTTGGCTTCCTCAGCTAAATTAGGCTGGTGGCAAACTGCTGTAGGACCTCTCTTGAAATTCCCTCCCAGTTTTGCAGAAAGAACAATCCAGAATTCTAATCTGAGAAATTTTTCAGTCACTCACACATCACCTATCTAATGGTGACTTAAACTAGAGTGTATTTCTGTACCTGAGGTCACTATTTCATCTCAGTTAAGTCTGAGAAGTTCTCCAGTACTTATGCCCCTCGGTTGAGTCAATTGATATTGAGTGAGACAGGTTTCACACGTCACACTGCTCATGGCGCACAGTACGAACGGCAGCTGTGGTCCTGTCATGGTCCAAATCAAGAGGGTAAGAAGAGAACATCAGCAATCCCTGCCGCTCAGGTTTCCTTCCCACAGAAGTCAGAGGATGTATAAGGGGCACAGCACATGCCCGTGTGTGGTGGTGCAACCCCCCGCCCCCTTTCAGGCCCCTCGGTACTTGGCATAATTTCCTCCCCACATGGGCCACATGATAATATTACGGAGCAGAACGATGCACAATGGTCTAACATGAAAGAAAGAAAAGGTGGAGAGCAACAGACTAAAACCCTATGGCAGCCCTTTAGTGCACCCGGTCCCCCATGGCTCCTACCGCTTGAAGAATAGTAACTATAATCGATCAGTCCTGACAACATATGGATTGCAGCCCTGAGGAGAAGGACCTGGGGGTGCTGACTGACCAGAGGCTCAGCATGAGTCAGCAATGTGCGATCGCAGCCCAGAAGGCCAACTGTATCCTGGGCTGCATCAGAAGAAGTGTGGCCAGCAGGTCAAAGGAGGGGATTTGGCCCCTCTACTCCACTCTCGTGAGACCCCACCTGGAGTACTGCGTCCAGCTCTGGAGTCCTCAACATAAGAAGGACGTGCACCTGCTCGAGTGGGTCCAGAGGAGAGCCACAAAGATGCTGCAAGGACTGGAGCACCTCTCCTATGAGGAGAGGCTGAGAGAGTTGGGGCTATCCAGCCTGGAGAAGAGAAGGTTCTGGAGAGACCTTATTGTGGCCTTCCAGTCCCTAAAGGGCCTACAGGAGAGCTGGGGAGGGACTTTTTACTGGGGCATGGAGTGACAGGACGAGGGGGAATGGCTCTAAACTGGAAGAGGACAGGTTTAGATTAAACATTAGGCAGAAGTTTTTCCCTGTGAGGGTGGTGAGGCACTGGCACAGGTTGCCCAGAGAGGTTGCTGAGGCCCCATCCCTGGAGGTGTTCAAGGCCAGGCTGGAGGTGGCCTTGGGCAACCTGGGCTGGTGGGAGGTGTCCCTGCCCATGGCAGGGGGGGTGGAACTCGATGATCTTCAAGGTCCTTTCCAACCTAAACCATTCTATGATTCTATGAATGTGACCACAGAGGGGGAGGTACCAGGACCCCAAGTCCTAGCAAGTCCTAGGCTTGTGGAACCGGTGGAAAGTACCGGAATAGTCCATTGTCTGAGCTGGGCCACAGGGGAAAATTACCTGATGAAAGTCAATTATCTCGGATCCTATAAGTAGCTGTTCTAGTAAAGACCCTTTGAGCTCTTCTGGATTACAGCAGGCTGTGGCCAGTACCTGCCCTGAGTTGGGATGCTCTCCACCTATATGTTTGTGATATACATGTTATCTTTATGGATGTGGATGTTCTTCTGTCCATCCATGCACATGTAGGACTTAAAAGCCGTACCTTTCGGATTGTGAGGGCCACCTGCTATTAAGAAATTCCCAATCCCAGCAATCGGGGACCTCTGCGTGTGTGTGCGTGCACGCGCGTCCACGCACGTCTTTGTATGTTTTGCTTATATCTCTCTCTCTCTGTTTTTTTGCTTATATGTATATGTAATGATTGGGGATACCTCATAGTAGGTTAGTGTCGATCTTGCCGTCTTCGAATCTGTACTTAAGGCACTGTTTAGTTATTTTGTTAAATCACTTTGTAAGCCTTTAAATCGGTTAATGATACAGCGCTGCTAAAACTGAACCTCTTGATCTACCTCAAATCACTAATAAAGTGTGAATCTCTACCAAATCCTAACCGTGTCAAATACTTCCATCCGCGACACCATGTCTCCTCCCAACAGTCGGGTGACAGATGAGAGGGAGCCTGGAGCAGTGACCAGGGAAGTGCTCCTCAGCCCATTGTGAAGACAGCCTTTGAACACATAGTTTAGACATAGACTTTGAGTCTTTAACCAAATAACTGCTTGGAAGTATACTTTTATCCATGTTTCTCATACGTGCACGTAAAACTGCATGTGAACAGAGGTTATGTCTGCAAATTCCTTGTAAAAATACCACATGCATCCTGCCAAAATTCCTGCCACAGTCCATTTGAGTGATGTGAAGCACGTAGGCAATAACTCAGTAACAATACTTTAACACGGAGGGTATGCAAAGTCTTGACTTTTTCATACCGAAGGGGCATATGGAAACAAAGTTCAGAGGCAAACATGAGCACACACAGCTTGGGGTAGGAGGGCAAATTTCTGTTAAAATAAAACCCTTGAGCTTCATGAATCCTGTCTGCAGTTCTTTTCCCCTCATCCCCAGCCTTACAGGTGTAGCTAGATCTTGACTACGTCTTCATACTGCTTTATCCATGAGGACATTTTGGAGGCATTACAGAATTAGACTGTGATGAAGAATCTATTTGAATAGTTCCTCTGATTTTGCTAAAGTCAACACAGAAGAGAAAACATCATTTTAAAAAAACATGACTGGGACAATTGTTTAATTATGTGAAAGGCCTGTTTATACCAAGTATATCACAGGTCCCAAAAAAGGTATTTCCATTCCATTGCAAGCTAAGGAAAAGTTAGGAACACAGCTTTTCCATGGCCATCTAGTCTGCTCTAACAGACTTTGTTCCTTCTGATAATCATAGTTTACTCTGTCAACAAAAGAAATTTTTGTGTTCAGATATGCAACCCCAAAAGACGAAGGAGGCAGGATCCACTTAAATCTCATCTATCTTAAATTTAAAATTAACTACACACACTGCACAGTTGTTCTGCTTATTTTTTAGGACTGTCTAAACTTGGTGGTCCCAGAATTCATCAGATTCTTCCCTACTTCCCATGACAGTGTTCACCCAAACATGTTGTCCTGAAAAAACAGACACCTTTCAGTAGTTTTCTGGCGGTTGGACGTAGGCAGAGGGCAGAAGAGGGCATTGGAGCTCACATAGAAGTGGGCAGACTTAGGCAATATTAGACTGCTTCCAAGGGTGCTTTTCATTTGTTTTGTGGGTTGTTGGTTAGATCCCAAGTCTGTATCTGCATGCGAAGCACAGAAAATAAACTTCAGCCCAACACTAATACTTCAGTGCATCCTTAATATTACAAGGGAAGTTTGAGTTCCAGCTGCCTAAAATCCCAGCTGTGTCTGCAGCAGGTCACACCGAAACCCTTGCAGAAAGGATTTATCGAACTAACATTGGCTGGACATGCATGCTGAGGGGTGGGGAATGAGCTATGTCATCTATGCCAGGGAATTGTACAGACTCAAAGTTCTTCCCACAACATATTCCTAGGATCACACCTGACTGCAAATGAGTAACCCAAAATTAAGGACACAACCCCAATTCAAGTTTGAGTTCAATGAGACCCCACCTGGAATACTGCATCCAGCTCTGGAGCCCTCAACATAACAAGGACATGGACCTCTTAGAGCATGGCCAGAGGAGGGCCACGAAGATGATCAGAGGTTT